AAAGCCACTACCTCATTATGGACATATATCAAAATACAGGTGTTACAGAAAAATTTAAAATCCAGTCTCTAAAACACTTCCGGTCCCAAATATTTTGGCCAAAGAATACTCAACCTGCTCTATATGTTGGGGAAATCCCAGAAAAAGAGTGAACTTTCTGGAAGGAGACCACTACCTGAATGCAAAAAGGCCTCTCCTTGGCTTAAAATCATAAGAGGGTAGAAACCATTGCAAAACGGATCCCAAATTCCTTAGAGCGCATGGGAGAACAAAAATTTGTAGGGGGAGCAGCATACCTAAGTTGAATATCAGTCAGTTTTAATCAAGAATTTTAAACTCCCATTTTGTGTTCACTATATTTTAATCTTTGTTCTGTGTATTTTAATATATGTATTTTGTAGTAAAATGTTTTAATATGTGTATTTTATGTAATATCAGGTTGAGTACCTGGCATTGCCTGGGTTATTTGAAAAAGTCATTTTTTAATTGTACAAAATGCATAAAGTTGTGGATTAACTACAACTGACATCATGCCAGGTTAATCCCGAGAAACTCCATCAGTACTTAAAGTTTGTAATGTTGGGAAGGTTTGCTCTAGATGCATCATTGGTGGGGCTCAGTGTGCCCTCTGGCTGTAGGGTGAACTACAACTCACACTATGGTGAATCAGCCCCCTCAAGCCCCTCCAGGTTGAGTTAGTCATGAAGGTTCTGTGTGCCAAGTTTGGTCCTGGCCCATCATCAGTGGAGCTCACAGTTCTCTGGTTGTGGTAAACTACAACTCCCAAAAAGAAAGGCCAGTACCCATCCCTCGTCCCCCCCAAACCCCTCCAGTAATCACATTTCAAAATATCAGGTATGTGTGCCAAGTTTGGTCTAGATCCATCGGTGTTTGGATTCACAATGTTCTCTGGACATCGGTAAATTACAACTCCCCCAAATCAATGTGAATTCCCTCAAAGACCTCCAGTATTTTTGCTGGTCATGAGGGCTCTCTGTGCCAAGTGTGGTCCAATTATTTTTGGTGGAGTTCCGAGTGCTTATTGACTGCAGATGAACTATAAATCCCAGCACCTATAACTCCAAAATGTCCAGGCCAAATCCCTTCAAAACCCACCAGTATTCAAATTTGGGCATATCAGATACGCATGCCAAGTTTGGTCCAGATCCATCATTGATTGGGTCCATAGTGCTCTCTGAAAGTAGGTGAACTACAACTCCTATAAATCCCTCTAAAGACCTTGGTCATGGGGGTTCTGTGTGCCAAGTTAGTTCCAGGTCAATTGTTGGTGGAGTTCAGAGTGCTCCTGGACTGCAAGTGAACTATACATCCTGGTACCTACAACTCCTATAAATCATGGTGAATTCTCCCCAAAGGTCTCTAGTATGTTCACTTGCTGATCATTTCCTCTGTTTGCTGTGTACCCTACAAAAGAGTAGGAAAGGGTTAAAGGAGAGGCAGTAGGTTGGATCATGCAAATTCCACACCAATAGAGAGAATAAGAAACACTGGGATGTCTATGGTGGAGGAAAAACAGAAAATCTAGGATTACATTGTCCTCATATGAAAGCCTTCACTTGAGTGGTGGTAAGTGGTGTGTTTGTGGAGGACATTGGCAGTGCTCTTGTACATGTTCATGAAGCTTGCCATAACCTGGAATGGCATTGGAGGGAGGGCCATTGGTGCCTCCTGGGTATTATGAGCTATAGCTTTTTTTGTGGAGGTAGGAGTTTGTCTGTGTAAGGGGACACCCCAGCCAGATACACACATACAGATTTTCGCTTTTATTATGTGTACAGATTTATGATGGCTGTAACCCGCCCCAAGGCATGAGGATAGGCGGGTAAGAAACACAATTGTTTGTTGTTGTTGTTGTTGTTATGAGGGTCAACACAGCCCCCTCAAACTTGTTTACATAACAGTAAAGTGACCTAAAATCTGTCATTTCATATTTTTGTACAACCATCTTTCAAAACAAAACTTCCAAGGCTGCTAAAATGTATCTCAGCATATGCTTTGTATTTGGAACTATTTTACGAATACAAAACACATGGTTAGATATACATCTTAGCAGGCTGAAAAGTTTTGTTTTGAAAGAAGGTTTACTTCATCATACTTTAATATCCCTTCAGGGATTCGCTTATTTTAATTCCTTGTGGGACATTTTTCATCATTGCCCCACAGACTCTTAAGCATGAATGGGACTTAACTTTTTGCATTATGTAGATAAAGGTAAACGTTTGCATTATGAAGGAGACAAAGGGTCTCCTGTCAAGTAGACTACCTCCTTGTTATTGCAACCTTTTACATATTGAAATTAATAATGGTTGTGTATACGTAGCTTCTTCTGGCAAATGGCTTGGGGAGTTCACAGCAAAGTGTTCTAATTGCAGGGTATGCAGGGATTGATTTTTTTTCCTAGTTGGGACAAGTACATATAAAAGAGGTGAGAAGCAAGAGAGAGAAGAATAGTGTCAAGGGAGTGGTAAACATAAAAAATGCATTAACTTTCAGAGCCAGTCAGTGACAAAAAGGTGTAGCTGGGGACACTGCGGTGAATACATCTCAGGCAAGTTCCTATGGGAAGATGCCCATCTTTCAAATATCCTGGCCTCAAGGAGCTTAAAAGATGGTCAGTCTTGCAAAGGACAACTGCAATCTCCAAGATGGTGAAGGAAATTCATAAATAATAATCCTAACAGCGGGAAAAGGCATGCATGGAATGGGGTACTATAGATGGAGGTATACTATTAAGTGGCTGAGAACTTAATGCTTGATTACACAAATCATGAGGTTTTATTACCAAAATTTGTCCAGAGTAGAGCTGCTTTGCCTTCCCTTGAGGCTGAGAGAGTGTCACACTCATTTTGGGTCCATGAATCAGAGTTGGAAGAGACCACATGGGCCATCATGTCCAACCTCCTTCTGCCAGGCGGGAAAAGCACAATCAAAGCACCCCCAACAGATGGCTATCCAGCCTCTGTTTAAAAGCCTCCAAATATACAGCCTCCACTATACACTGAGGCAGAGAGTTCCACTGTTGAACAGATATTCTTACAATCAGGAGGTTCTTTCTAATAATGTTCAGGTGGAATCTCCTTCTCTATCATTTGAACCCATGGATCCATTGAGTCTTAGTTTCCAGGTTAGCAGAAAATGAGTCCTGCTCTCTCTTACTTAGGGCATCCTTTCAAACATGGGTCTCATGTTCCCTTCTCTCAATCTCCTCTTCTGGAGGCATGTAGCCGGGGGGGGGGGGGGGGGCTTGTGGGGCTTCAGCCCCCCCCCCCAAAATTCTCATGGTGGTTTGTGAAAAGGCCTTACTGGTGCATTATTTAAACTGTTATGTTTATTCATATCATGATCTGATCACCATACTCAATATATCCCATATGCATGGGGGTATTGGGGTAATGATACAAAAGGTTTGCTAGGGTAGACCCTCTTTCACTCAGACTCAGCCCCCCTGAAACTCAGCCCCCCCCCCAAAAAAAAATCAGCCCCCCCCCCCCCAATCGAAATCCTGGCTACGGGCCTGTCTGGAGGCTAAACAGACCCAGCTCTTTAAATCACTCCTCAGAGGGATTATTCATGGTTTCCAGACCTTTGGTCATTGTAGTCGGCCTCTTCTGAATCCCTTCCAGCTTAGAGCCAATATCTCTCTTAAATTGTTTTGCCCCAAACTAGACACAGCATTATTATTTCAGATAAAGAGGCCTGACCAAAGCAAAAGAGAGAGATCGTGATTTTCCTTGATTTGGACCAGTGGTTCCCAACCTTTTTTTGGCCAAGGATAACTCTGACCAGGGACTACTCTCCCAATATCCTAGTCTTGACACCCAGCTCACTGCAACTCAAACCAAACAGACAAAACATATGAACAGAGGAGTCTTTTTGAGATCCAAGGTAGTTATGAAGCCATCTCCCAGGAGCATTTGATACTATGAATACATCTTAGAAGATGACTGATTTTAACAGGTTTTTTATTTATTGATTTATTTTAATGATCATATTAACTTAACTGTTTTAATAATCATTTCATGTTTAATTCTATTTCAATTTTTATTGTTTGGGTGCTTCTAATTGTACAGTTGAAATTGAAAATTACCTGGGAAGGCCAAGAGCTTGAACACTGTTACCACCCTAAATATCTTGATGTCCCTTAGATCAAACACTAACATTTAGAAAACACTGCATGAACACCAAGCACAAAGTAGCTGCACGCAATAACATCCTGCACAAACTTACTGGCAATGCATGGGGTGCAGACCCAAAATTAATAAGAATATCAGCACTAGCCTTGTCTTACTCAACTGCTGGGTATGTCTACCCTGTTTAGCACAAGTCTCTCCATGCGAAGCACGTGAACATAACACTGAATGAAACAAGCAGACTCAAATCAAGGAAAAGCTTCATGAGAACCACCACTCCTCTAAATGTTCCTCAAGCAATAGCAAGAGTATCCCTCTGGGCAGCTAAACCAAAAAGTCCCAACTGGATGGCCCCCCACGAGGATCTTCCTCCAGGGGCAAACCAAGAATGGGCAACTTGGAAGTCCCTGAACAGACTAAGAAGCGGAGTGGGCAGATCAAAAGACAAAATGGCATTGCCTAGAAGAATCCTCCACCTTGTGCAACTGTGAAGCAGAACAAACAACTCTGCATCTGTATGCTTGCCCACAATGGCCTGCCTCATACACAGAGGAAGAGCTGTTTAAAGCTACAGATAATGCAGTCACTGTTGCCCATTTTTTGTCAAATATTATTTAGCTGCTTGTGTTTCCTCTATTTTATCAGTTTGATACTTATTTATGCAATGCTTTTGACACAAAATAAATAAATAGTACAGTTTTTATAGCTGAACCACTGAGTCTCAATGATGAGACAAAAATGATCTTATTAGTAGTAGTAGTAGTAGTAGTAGTAGTAAAAGTAATAATAGTAGTAGTAGTATTCGTTTATACCCTACTTCTCATTATTATTACGTTCCAGGCATCTTTTGGTACCAGCCCATCGCACCTCAAGATATGTTGTAAAGGTAGGTTGTGGAAGAGAAAGGATAGAAACCCAAAATGTGTCTCCTGCTACATCCTACCTCACAGCTTAAGATCGTGTAGGGAGGCCCTGCTTCCGGCTCTGCCAGTTTCACAAGTGTGTTTGGCAGGGACGAGAGATAGGGCCTTCTCAGCGGTGGCCCCTTGCCTGTGGAACTCGGTCCCCAGCTTCTTCCCTCCTGTCTTTCAGGAAGAAACTGAAATCGTGGTACTGGGCCCAGGCCTTTGGTCAACAGACGTAGCATCACTTTGGTTATGGAATTGAATTGGAATGGCATTACGGCTTTGACAAAATGCTTTTAACTACTTTTAACTTAATGATTTATCTATTGTTTTAAACTGTTGTTATATTGTTGTTTGCTTGTATGTATGCCATCAAATTGTTGCCGAGTCTAAGCCACCCTGAGTCCCCCTTCCGGGGTTAAGGACAGGGTAGAAATACTGGGCATAAATAAATAATCTGACAGAAGTTAGAGAAGGAAAAGACTGCAGTTGGATAGTGAAAAGATGGCATAAAGATAAGGAGGAAAGTTATAATGGAAATAGGAAAATCAGCTGAAGGAAGAACTGACTTTTGGGAGCTGGGAGTGATTAAATAGGTCAAAGATTAATGTGCAACCTATTTGTGTATTAATAAACTTCTGCCTGTTTATTCCTTTTGACAACAGTGCCTGGCTGTTCCTGTTAAGTCTGGAGAGTGTAATCATGCATAGTAAACCCACAAAATAATATAGGGATCACCTGCCTCCTCTTTCCCAAAAGCTGGAGTGAGAGGAGAGAAAGGGTATGGAAAGAGACAGAAAGACTCACTTGTAGACGGTCCCTCCGTTGCCATGACCGAGGATGTCCCGATATCGTATGTCTTGTTCATTCATCTCCACGAGGAAGAAAGAAAAACAAAAGAGATGTCATGCCGTGGATGGAAGTGTCAAGGAAAAGCAACTCTAGGCCATAAACAACCAGCCGTCTGGGTCATTTCAAGTTCAGCTGCAAGAACGAGGAGATCAATACAACATTTGCTGTCCAATTTATAAAAGACAATACCAAGGGACAAAGTGATGGAAAGTTTAATGACAATTTGTTTGCCTGGGTCATTTCATTAAAGTTTGATAAAAGGTGTCAAAATGGAATGATAACATCACCGCGGAGGAGCAGATCACAGAAGGGGGCTACGGCGCACCGAAAAGCCAAGGCCAGACGATAGTCCCAACTGTTCATACTGCCAGGAAAGGCCTCTAGATCTCCATTCCAGAAGTGGAAAAGAGAACCAGATGCTTGAGAGGGAGTTCTTGGTTGAGTGGAGAGCACACAAAAGCAGTATCCAAAGTACACAACAGCCTGAGGGTGCACCAGCTATTTAGAATGAATGAAGTTTGATACAGGAATATATTATTTTAAAAAAAGAATGCAGTTCGACACCACTTTAATAACCATGTAAGAATGTTATGGAATCCTGGGAGTTGCAGTTTGGTATTGGCACTCTCTAGCAGAGAAAGCTAAAGACCTTGCCAAGCTACAACTACCATGATTGTAGAACCAGACGATCATAGGGTTGGATGAATGAATAAATGAATGAATGAATGAAACTTTATTTATAGCCTGCCCTATCTCCCCAAAGGAACTCGGGGCGGCTCACAACAAAACACACAATGCCGACAGTAATATATAAGCAAATCAATAAACAAATCAAGCGCTACTCAATACATTATAAAGCAACATATATAAACAAGACATAGCATAACACACATAATTACAAACATATTAAATCATTAAAATATCATTTAAAATCTCTAAAATTAGATTAAAATTGTTGGGGGAGAGATGGAAAACAGCAGGTTATCAGGGATAAGGTGTAAATAGATGTACTTGCCCCACACGGATCATGTAATCCAGGAGTCCTCAAACTAAGGCCCGAGGACTAGATATGCCCCTCCAAGGTCATTTACCTGGCCCTCACTCAGGGTCACCTAAGTCTGAAACTACTTGAAAGTGCACAACAACCACAATCCTATCTCATCAGCCAAAAGCAGGCCCAGACTTCCCATTGAAATACTAATAAGTTTATATTTGTTAAAATTGTTCGTAATTTTAATTATTGTATTGTTTTTAAGTGTTTTTGCACTATAAATAAGATATGTGCAGTGTACATAGGAATTCATTCATTTTTTTTCCAAATTATAATCCAGCCTTCCAACAGTTTGAGGGTCTGTGACCTGGCCCTCTGTTTAAAAAGTTTCAGGGCCCCTGATCTAATCTAACCCCATTCTGCCTTCATACAGGAAAAGTACAATCAAAACCTTCTTGACAGATGGCTATGCAGCCTCTATTTAAAACCTACAGGAAAAAGTTTCCATCAGACCCCAAGGCAGAGAGTTCCACTGTTGAACAGTTCATACAGTTAGGAAGTTCTTCGTGTTCAATTAGAATCTACTTTCCAGCCATTTGAACTTATTGCTCCATTGAGTCCTAGTCTCCAGGGCAGCAGAAAAAAAGCCTGTTCCCTCTTCCTTATGACATCCTTTCAAAAATGTAAACAATGCAATCTATTTGTAATTGATCTGAAAGCCAGACAAGATGAGCTTAAAATGTTCCCTGCCGTACTGCAATGCAATGATTCTTGATCCAAGGAAATATTTCTCTTCCCATAAAAACGTTCAGGTCTAAAGCTTGGCCAATCTGTGATCATTAGAAGCACAACGGCACAAAAGTGGACTTCATATAAATTGCCTGTTTAGTTTGTTGTAGTCACCTTAATGTATTGAAATTAATTAATGCACAATGTACGACCATGAATCAAAATTAAGTCTTGTGCTATGGAGTTCTTTTTCCTGAATTAACTTGGGTTTTCTTTTTCCTTTTTGACAAAACAAGCCAGGAATCAGAAAGCAGTTTCAAGCAATTCTGCCCTTCTTAAAGCACTGTGTTTCCTGACAAGCAATACGCCCCAGAAAGCCATGAATCCGAGGCTCATGAATTTAGAAGGTTTTCTTGTTCCAGAGCTACAATTGCTGTACTGTGATCCAAATAAAAACATACGAGGGACACAATCCAGCAAAGTGTTTCCCGAACAAGCCCTGAAATCTGAGTGCACAGTCGCCAATCACTGAAACAGGAAAGTTTCCCTGATGAATTCTGATGTAGGCCACTTACCTAAGTCTACCTTTGTTCAGAAGAGAAAGGCAGCAGATTTGCATCACTGCAAACAGACCCATGTTTGCAAGGAGAAGCAAATCCTCTGGTAGGGATGGGGACTACATTTTCGAGGCTTAATTATGTGCATTTCGATTCCAGAAGGACAAGGGAACACTTTACAAGGGTTAAGGGGTTTTCCAAAGTGTGTTTCCTCATCACCGCACTTTGTTTTAATCTGCTTTTGGTTAAGTGGAGTGAAGTGAATGCCTCTCCACACACAACTCCACCGCCAATCTTAAAAAGGTTCATATGATCTCCCTCAACAGATGAGGGCACATACTCATCACTTCTAAACCTTTCATAATTTGGGTTGCTTGGAAAGATGAGGGAAGAGGCTACAAAATCTGGACAGCTGCAACTCTCAGCTAGGTCCATGGATGGGTCTGAGGCATTTTGAGCACTTTTTTTTCCGTGTCAGGAGTGACTTGAGAAACTGCAAGTCATTTCTGGTGTGAGAGAATTGGCCATCTGCAAGGATGTTGTCCAGGGGATGCCTGGATGTTTTTGATGCTTTACCTTCCTTGTGGAAGGCTTTTCTCATGTCTCCGCATGGAGAGCTGGAGCTGACAGAGGGAGCTCATCCACACTCTCCCCAGATTCAAACCTCTGACCTGTCGGTCTTCAGTCCTGCCGGCACAAGGGTTTAACCCACTGTGCCACCAGGGGCTCCATTTTGAGCACTAAGCAAATAATAATAATAAATTCAGATTACATCATTCTGTGTCCATGTCGCTCTATGAACTAACATGGGTCTCACTCCCTAATAAGAAATCAGAAACAACGATATGTACATTTCCATGTTACTATGAACTTCTACTATGAGCCCCTGGAGGCACAGCAGGTTAAACTGCTGAGCTGCTGAACTTGCTTACCAAAAGGTCAGCAGTTTGAATTTGGGAAGTGCGGTGAACTCCTGCTGTTAGCCCCAGCTTCTGTCAACCTAGCAGTTAAAAAACATGCAAATGTAAGTAGATCAATAGGTACTGCTTCTGCAGGAAGGTAACGACACTCCATGCAGTCATGCTGGCCACATGACCTTGGAGGTGTCTACAGACAATGCCAAATCTTTGGCTTAGAAACTGAGATCAGCACCAACCCCAGAGTTGGATACAACTAGACTTAATGTCAGGGGAAATCCTTCCCTTTACTTTATGAAGTTCTCAATTAGTCAGACAGGAGCACTGGGGAAACCTGCAGCCCAAACGTGCATATATTCCTCCTGGCTAATAAAGCTGGGGACTTTCAAGGTATTTTCCTTCCAAGAGAGCAGAAAACAGAACCCAAGAACGCTCCCTCTGGAGACTCAACATTTAACATGTAACATAAGGTGAGAAGGTTTAGCTCTCCTCTGCTCTGAGAGACCATAAGTGGAAGAGGCTCAGAATGTCCTCCTCTGATGCAGAATGTGGCGGGCCCTTGTGCATGGAGGGCTTCCCAATCCCCTTGGAGAGAAAGGAAATGCAGATCATAACATCACTTCAGTAGATGGGTCCCCCTCCTTAGGTTCTGATGAGAGACCATCTTGGTTTGGCCTTCCCTGGAATCTCCAATATAGGTTGAGTATTTTTTATCCAAAATGCTTGGGATCAGAAGTATTTGCATTACACATACACAATGCGAAATCTTAGAGATGGGACCCAGATCTAAATGCAACATTCATGTATGTTTCAGCAGCCTGAAGGGAACTTTATACACAATTATTTTAAATAGTGTTGTGAATGATGTTTGTGTACACTGACTAATCATAAAGCAAATATATCACTGTCCTAGCCACTTGTAGACAATTTTAGATTCCAAAATATTCCGGAAAATGGATAAGGGGTGCTCAATTTTATCTCAATGTTAGAGATACAAAACTCAATTGGTCAATTCAAAGGAACATGTCAAAGATATCTATTAACATACAAAATAAATATAGGGAAACGAGTTCTCAATCAAATCGAAATAACGAGAACGGGACTATCAACTTTTCTGAATCAGTCTTGATTGGCCATTGCTATTAGCAATGGAATGGAAAGTGAAAGAGTATCCAATTATGGATTCTGTTAATAAAACACTCTTTGTTTGTATCTGCTGTCTTGGAGAGAATCAGCATGCATCTCTTATAAATCATTAGAAGCAAAAATGCTCAATTAATCCTTATTTGATAAGTAAAGCTCTACCCGAAGCCCGGCCAAGGGGCTATCCCTCCCCTGCACCAATCGAAGCTCTAATGGCTTCAGCAGGCAGTCACAGTCTATGAGCAGACAATTGAGGAGATTTAGTAAATCCCACTTTATAGAGCACAGACTAATCGGAAAACACAAGCCAGTCAAATGTTTCTTATGAACTGTTGACATGACATCAATGCTGAATCAATTGGCGGCATTTGCTCTGAGTGACAGAAAAGAAATAAATATTTATATCACATAACCTATATCAATGAACCCAGGCAGAAAGCTATTTCTAACCTGTCAATATTTGATTATCTTGAAGAATCGTACCCCTTCCTTTTAATGATTAATATGAATTCCTTATTAAACCTAAGTGGAGGCTATCAGGGGAAAAATGTCTTTATTAATGCTTGCAAGCAGGAGGGCAAAAACAATGTGGGATGCAAAAAAACATCGTGCTAAAATGTGCCCTCAACTACCAAACAGTAAAACAAACAGACAAGAACCGTAGAAGATGCAAACAATGACACTCCTGATAGCCTAGCACATGCACTGAAGCAAGGAAAAAGATCCTCCCTTCCCCAGTGAGAAATGTTCAACGTCCTTCGCCTGCAAGAATAATAGAATCAATAAGTTGGAAGAAACCTCATGGACCATCCAGTCCAACCCGCTGCCAAGAAGCAGGAAAATCACATTCAAAGCACCCCCGGCAGATGGCCATCCAGCCTCTGC